AAAAGGTGGTAAAAACAACCCAGATGCCCGTCCACTGAAGAATGGATAAAACAAACATGGTCTATCTATACAATGGCATATTGTTTGCCGATAAAAATAAATGAAGTACTGATACACACTGCAGCACAGCCGAGCCCTGTCATCATCAGGCTACAGGAAAGAAGCCAGGCTCAAAAGACCACAGGTTGCAGGAGTCCATTTACCTGAAAAGTCCCGGGCAGGAGTATTCATACAGAAAGTAGGTGAGCGCATTCCGGGAACTGGGTGCAAGAAAGAGTGAAGTAACTACTAACAGAGTTTCTTTGTAGGGTGGTGAAAGGTTCCTAAAATTAGATGGTGATGGCCAGCGCCGCGGCTCACTTGGCTAATCCTCCGCCTGCGGCGCCAGCACCCCAGGTTCTAGTCCCAGTCGGGGCACTGGATTCTGTCCCGGTTGCCCCTCTTCCAGGCCAGCTCTCTGCTGTGGCCCGGGAAGGCAGTGGAGGATGGCCCAAGTGCTTGGGCCCTGCACCCGCATGGGAGACCAGGAGAAAACACCTGGCTCCTGGCTTCAGATCGGCGCAGCACCGGCCATTGCGGCCATTTGGGGGGTGAACCAATGGAAAGGAAGACCTTTCTGTCTCTCTCTCTCACTGTCTAGCTCTGCCTTTCAAAAAAAAAATAGATAATGATGACCCTTGCACAGCCTGTAAATATACTGAAAGCTGCCACGTGGAATGCTTCCAAGGGATGAATTTTATGTGTGTGAATCATAACTCATTAAAGTATTTTTAAACTGTTTAAACAAAAATAACAATGTGTAGCAGATGTGTACATACACAGCAACAATACAATGAAGTCAGATATGGAGAAGTGGAGGTGTACTTACTATTACAAGATTCTTATGCTTTATAAAAGTGGCATAATATCCCTGGAGGACAGCCTGTAATCAGTTTAAAATGTACAGTATAAGGACAGACATCTGACCCGATGGCTAGGACACTGCTTGGGATGCCACAGCCAACATCTGAGTGCCTGGGGTGGTGTCCCAGGTCCACTTCCCATTCCAACTTCCTGCTAATGCACACCCTGGGAAGCAGCGGTGCTGCCTCAAGCAATAGGGTTCCCACCACCCCTGTGGGAGACCTGACTGAGTCTGCAGCTCCTGGCCCAACCCAGCCCTGACTGTTGCAGGTATTTGGGAAGAGAATCAGCAAATGAGAGTTCTCTCTCCCTGTCCCTCTCTTTCTCTCTCTGTCTTGCTACCTCTCAACTTTCAAAAAACAAAAAAAGAAAAGTTCATATGAAATGGAATTAAAGGATAAGATTATTTCTAAAATAATAAAAACTAAAATAATGAAAGTGTACAATATAAAATTCCTAACAAGGATTAAAATACAATAAGCCACAAATACAGTAAAACAATATTATAAAAACTATTCGATCTGATAGAAGTCAGGAAAGAGAGGAAAAAGCAAACAAAGAACAATAAAATTGAAAATAAAGAGTGAAATGACAGAGTTAAATCTAACCCTGTCAGTAATGACATTGAAGTACATGGATTAAATACCCCAATTAAAAGGCAGAAACGGATTAGATTTAAAAATCAAAACCCAATTCTATGCTACTGAGAAAAAGCACATTTTATATAAATGCATAAGTAAGATAAAATAAAAAGAAAGGAAAAATCATATACTACACTAACACTAATTGAAAAAAGGCAGAGTATGTTAATATCAGGCCAAGCAGATTTCAAAGCAATGAATACTACCAAAGATAAAGAAGATAATTTTGCAATGAAAAGGAATAAGTTGATCAAGAATAAGAATATTGAATGTTTACATATTTAATGTGAGAATAAATAGATAAAATTGCAAGGAGAAATGAATGAACCCACAATTACAGTCAGAAATTTTAGTACTCTTCTATATAAATGGACTCAGAAAGTTCATGGAAAATGAAATTAAAAGATGGTTATTTTGGTGCAAAAAAAATTGAAATCCTTGCATAGTTTTTTTTAAAGTTTTATTTATTGTGGACAGCACTGTGGCACAGCAGGTTAACGCCCTGGCCTGAAGCACCGGCATCCCATATGGACACTGCTTTTAGTCCCAGCCGTTCCACTTCCCATCCAGCTCTCTGCTATGGCCTGGGAAAGCAGGAGAAGATGGCCCAAGTCTTGGGCCTCTGCACGTGGAAGAAGCTCCTTGCTCCTGGCTTCGGATCAGCACAGTTCCAGCCGTTGCGGCCAATTGGAGAGTGAACCAGTGGATGGAAGACCTCTCTCTCTCTCTCTGCCTCTCCTCTCTGTGTAACTCTGACTTTCAAGTAAATAAATATTTTTTAAAAGATGAAGTTTTATTTATTTATTTGAAAAGCAAAGTTACAGAGAGGCAGAGGCAGAGAGAAAGAGGATGTTCCATCTGCTGGTTCACTCCCCCAAATGGCCGCAACAGCCAGGGTGAGCTGATCTGAAGCCAGGTGCTAGGAGCTTCCTTTGGGTCTCCCACATGGGTGCAGGGGCCCAAGGACTTGGGCCATGTTCCACTGCTTTCCTAGACCACAGCAGAAAGCTGGATGGGAAGTGGAGCCGCCGGGACTCAAGCTGTCACCCATATGGAATGCTGGCACCGCAGGCAGCAGCTTTACCCACTTGACCACAATACCGGCCCCACACAGCTTTTCTTAATAAGCATTTTCCATGAACTCTTTGAAGAGCCCTTGTGTAACTGATAGAAAAATATAAAAGGAAGACCTGATCAACACCATGAGTCTTGACCTACATTTCTAGAACATTCTAGGCAACAGCAGCAGAATGCACCTTCTTTCAAGAGCTAACAGAACATTAGCCTGGGGGGCTCTGTTTGCACCCATAAAACAAGTCTCATAAGTCTAAATGGATTCACGTCATTCAAAGTATATTCCTAACCACAACAGAATAAACATGAATTAACAACAGAAAGATATCTTGAAAACCTTCAAGCATTTGAAAATTAAATAACAGTGATTTCCTTTTCCATGGGTCAAAGAATAAATCAAAAGGGAACAAAAAGCATTTGGAATTAAACAAAAATGAAAACACAACGTGCCCAGATGTGTGACATGCTAAAGCACGCTTATGGGAAAGTTTACAGCAGTAGATGCCTACAACTGGAACAGAAGAAAGATCTGAAGTAACTTACCTCTACTTCCCCCTCTAGACAGGAGAAAAGTAAGTGCAGATATGGATCCAAGATAAACACATGGAAAGATGCATCATTACTCATTCCTAGGGAAATGCACTTTAAAACCACAGTGAGGGGCCAGCGCTGTGGAGTAGCAGGCAAAGCCGCGACCTGCAGTGCCGGCATCCCATGTGGGTGCTGATTCGAGTCCCGGCTGCTCCACTACCAATCCAGCTCTCTGCTATGACCTGGGAGGGCGGTAGAAGATGGCTCAAGTCCATGGGAGACCCAGAAGAGGCTCCTGGCTCCTGGCTCCTGGCTTTGGATCGGTGCAGCCATCTGGGAGGTGAACCAGCAGATGGAAGACCTTTCTCTCTCCCTCTCCCCCTCCTGCCTCGGTTTCTCTGTAACTCTGCCTTTCATATAAATAAATAAATCTTTAAAAAACACACACACTGGGGGCCGGCGCTGTGGTACAGCGGTTAACACCCTGGCCTGAAGCACTGGCATCCCATATGGGCGCCGGTTCTAGTCCCTGCTGCTCCACTTCCGATCCAGTTCTCTGCTGTGGCCTGGGAAAGCAATAGAAGATGGCCCAAGTCCTTGGGCCCCTGCACCCACGTGGGAGACCAGGAAGAAGCTCCTGGCTCCTGGCTTCAGATCAGCTCAGTTCTGGCCGTTTCAGCCATCTGGGGAGTGAACCATCAGATGCAAGACCTCTCTCTCTCTCTCTCTCTCTCTCTCTCTCTGCCTCTCCTCTCTCTGTGTAATTCTGACTTTCAGATAAATAAATAATAAATAAATCTTTGAACACACACACAGAGAGAGATGTATACACAGCTGTTAAGATTCAAGATTGATCACACCAAATGTTAATGAGATGTGGAGGAACTGGAACTCTCATATACTCCTGGTAAGAATTTAAGATGAAAGGCAGAGTGACAGGGGGGAGAGGGAGTGTGAGAGAAGGAGAGGGAGAGGGAGAGGGAGAGATAGAGATCTAGTATATGCTGGTTCACTACCCAAACGGCTGCAACAGCCAAGCCAGGCCAGAGCCAGGAGCCCCATCTGGGTCTCCCACACGGGTGGTAAGAGTCCAAGTACTGGTCAGTCGTCTGCTTCGTTCCAGGCACATAGCAGGAAGCTGGATAGGAAGTAGAGCAGCCTGGACTCTACTCAGCTACCAGATGTGTGTGTCCCAAGCAGCGGCACCAAAACGCTAGCCCCTATGCTTCGGAAAACTCTAAGTAAACAAACACCTGCCATATGATCTAGCCACTTCATTCCTAGGTATTCACCCAAAAGAAAAGAAAACAGATGCTGTATAAAGCCTTGTGCACACATGCTCACAGCAGCTTTATTCAAAACAGCCAAAGTCCAGAACACCTGGCCTGAAGCACCGTCATCCCATATGGGCGCCGGTTCTAGTCCCAGCACCTGAATGGGGAAACAACTCAAGATACAGCCCTACAATGAAACCGTATGTAGGAGTTCATTTGAATAAATCTCTAGAAGATGCAAGCTAATCTATGGAGACATGAAGCAGAGCAGCTGACGTCTGGGGATGAGGCGGAAAGAGGAAGAGACTCAAAGGGGCATAAAAGACTGTTTGCACCTAGGAGAGGTGACGGTTGTGCCATGGTGTCACTGGTGTACACCTATGTCACGATGTACCAAATTGGACATTTTAAATAGTGGAATTTACCATGTGTCAGTTATACCTTGATATGATTTAACAGTGTAACCAGCAGCCCAAACCAGTGTGGATGTTTTGAGACAGTCAAAATAAAATTTGGTATCAAGAGACATCGGCGACCTGTCCAAGACCCACCCTCCGAGCCTTCTTGGTCTACCCACCTCGGCTGCTTGCTTGGTTAACCTGCCCTCACTCTCAGCTTTGGGTGTTGGATTCAGCTCTGCTCTCTTCTGGCTCGATGTGGTCTCCACGCTGACTGCAGGCTTCTCCCTAAGTGATTTTGCAATCATAGTTAACAACACAACGCTGGTTCACAATTATTGGAAAATCGGTATCACAGATCAGAGGTTGATCTTCAGGTATCATTCCCATTTCAGACTACAGGAAATCTCACCTGTTTCTGAGAAGCCATGAGATTTCACACAAAATACTCCCTGTTTACAGGTTTTCTGATGGTTGTTTAAAGTGCTAATGACAGGGGGGTGGCATTGTGGCAAACCAGGTGAAGTCGCCACCTGCAGTGCTGGCACCCCATATGGGTGCCAGTTCCTGTCCTGGCTGTTCCACTTGCAATCCTGCTCCCTGCTGATGGGAAAGCAGCAGAGGATAGCCCCAAGAGCTTGGGCCCCGACCCCTCCAGGGAGAGTGAAGCCCCTGGCTCCTGGCTTCGGCCTGGTCACTCCAAGCTGTTGTAGCCATTTGAGGAATGAACCAACAGATGGGAGATATCTCTTTCTCTCCCTCTCCCTCTCTCTCTGTAACTCTGTCAAAATAAATTTTAAAATCTTTCCTATAAATAAAAAGAATGCTAATGATAGCAACAAATAGCTTTCATAAGGGCTTTGTTTTGCTTTCTGTGCTAACAATCTTTTTCAAATGTATCTCAGAGTGGTAGTTGTGCACAGATTTTAAAAATAAACAGTCCCTAAGTGCTTGGGGCCTCTGCCCCACTTCTTCTGCCCAGAGGCAAGCTCTCACCCCTGAGCTGTTTCTTCCAGTAACTTGAATTTGCTCCATATTTCTGAGAAATCTTGTCAAGCCCCCACTATGTAACTCAAAGGACTATGAAGGCAATCAGCACATTCCATCCCAAGGGACATACCAGACCGCGCCGACACAGAGGAGAGTGGCATATTTTGGAGCCAAAAAGTCCTGGATTTGAATCTTAGCTCTGATACTGCTGGCCAACCTTGAGCTAGTAAATAAATGTCTGAAGCTCAAATTGAGCAATTTTTTAAATAGAGACAGTAATAGGAGGGGACTTCAAAAGTTCATGGAAAACAGAACTGAAAAATAAGCTTCTTTTGGTGCAGAAAAAATTGAGATTCACACATACAAATTTGTCTTTCAGACTTGTCGAAGGTTAAACGCAAAAGCTGGTGTCCACGCCTGGTGCGGCACCAGCCCAGAAAATGGCTTTTTCTTTAACTTCCTCCACGCTTCATTTCTTCTAAAAGGGCAAGGTCTGGGAAGACGGGGAAATCCTCCTTTTCAATCCAGTCCTGCTCCAAAGCTCCAGCAACTCAGAAAGGTTCAAGAAAGTTCTTGTAAGTCAGCCATCCTGTGCTTGGGGAAAGTGCACTGAGGAAATGCGCTGGGGGCGCACACGCAGGCAGCCCCCAGCTAAAAGGATTCGATTCGCAGGGTCTGGAGCCTGGCCCCAGGCCCGCCTGCAGCCAGGGGCGCCCCCTCGCGCCCAGCCAGGAGCTGTAACCAGCTGCCCTCTGGTTAACGCCGTCTAAGTCCACCCAAAAGCCCAGTCCTGGGGAACAGACTCTTACCCCTGCTGGACTGTCGTCTCTTCCAAGGTGTCCTGCTGGGGCTGCCTGGGCAGGAGCTGGACCAACGCCTCGCATCCCACGGATTCTTCTAATTCAAGGATGGGAGGGGGGTGCTATTTAATCCTGGGCCGGGTGGGGATGAGGGAGAATCTCTAAGAGGAGAATTCCAGGGAGCACCCAGATGACCATGCAAAGCTGGAGACCCCTGCCTGGCTCCCCGGGGCGCCCTCAAGCGAGTTTCGGAGGAATGAAGGGGATTTTGTGGGGTTCGGTGCTGCAGAGGGCTCGGGTCCGCTGTCAAACTGAGACCCAGGAATTCCCTGTCGCTTCTGTCCCAAGCCCCTGCGGAGCCACAGCCGCCCTTAACCCCACCTGCCGGGGGGGGGGGGCTCCCCCACCACTGTCCCACCTCCGCCTCTGCCTGGCTCGCTTGGATTAAATTAGAAAAAAACGGCCATTCGGAAGTACTCATTCATTCCGCTTAACAGGCCTTTAACACAATAACCAAATGCCCATGAGAAAACCCAGGGGGGCTTCCAGGCCACGGCGCAGCGGCTTCATGGGGGTGCCCAGGGAGGCCCTATGCCGGGGGCGGACCTGACTGGGGCTCGGCTGAACGTCCAGGAGCAGGCTGGTGGTCATCGGGCTCCGAGCTGGAGGTTCTCGAGACGGGCTTGGGGCGGGAAGCTGGGACCCTGTGGAAGGGGAGCCCGTACTCGGCCCTGGCGGCGGGGCTCAGGCCCATCCCGCTGCTGCGGCCCCGCCGTGCCCCGGGCCTCGCAAAGGACGACGCGCCCGGCGAGGGGTCCGTGGGCGCGGCCCCTGGACGGCGGAGTCGCGGGCGCGGGCGCGCGGCAAACGGTGGCGGCGGCGCGCGGGCGCAGGGGGCGCGTCCCGGCTTGGCGAGGGGCGCAGATGGCGGCGCCCCAAGGCCGGGGTATCTGGTGGGGGGTAGGGGGTCTTTGATGGCCAGAGCAGGGCGAGGGGCCGTCGGAGACTCTTGGTGGGGTGTGAGGTGGCGCCGAGGCTGCAAGGTGCGGGAGCCAACGCGAGGCGCTTGAGACCACAGAGCAGGCGCGCTCCGGGGTTGAAATCCCGAGGGCTGCCGAGTGTTTTATTTAAAAATAGAAATATACCCAATGTCATCCATATAGCACCTGAGCACCTGTGGTTACGAACTGTGATGAGTAAAAATCACCGGAGCATCCCCGGACCGGGCGCTGCACCTGTGCCGCCTCCCTTACCGCCTGGGGGTAGTTACCTCTCTCCTGAAGTTTGCACCTGTCCCGTCCTTAATTTTTTTTTTAATCTTTTCTTTAAAAAAAAATGACTTCTTCGCACCTTTGATGCTTTGGGTTGTTTTTGTTTGGTTTCAGATATGTTTTGCTTATGTGAAACTGCATAAAATGGTACTAGTTTTTAAAATATGGTAATTGTGGTGTTGGTATTTATGTGCACCTCAACCCCGATCCTGATATCCTAACCCCCAAGGCGGTGGGAGGCGGGGCCGTTGTGTGATCAGGGTCAGAGGGTGGAGCCGGCATGGATGCGGATTCAGTTTCTATAATGAAATTCTAGAGAGCTGGTCGACACCCACCCACGCGCGCATACACCCACCCCTGGGAAAACATCAGTTACCATTCCGACTGGTGTTTTGCATGTAGCAACCCAAATGGACAAAGACGAATGGAGTCGTGAGGGTACTTCAAAGGGCCATGGAGGGCTGGGGTTTGGCCAAGCTCCAGGCCCAATTCCAGCATTCCCACTAATGCAGACTGGGAGGCAGAAGATGTGTTTTTTTTTAACTTTTATTTAATGAATATAAATTTCCAAAGTACAGCTTATGGATTACAATGGCTTCCCCCACCATAACTTCCCTCCCACCCGCAACCCTCCCCTTTCCCACTCCCTCTCCCCTTCCATTCACATCAAGATTCATTTTCATTTCTCTTATATACAGAAGATCAGTTTAGTATATATTAAGTAAAGATTTCAGCAGTTTGCACCCACAGAGAAACACAAAGTGAAAAATACTGTTTGACAACTAGCTATAGCATTAAATCACGATGTACAGCACATTAAGGACAGAGATCCTACATGAGGAGTAAGTGCACAGTGACTCCTGTTGTTGACTTAACAATTTGACCCTCTTATTTATGGCATCAGTAATCTCCCTAGGCTCCAGTCATGAGTTTCCAAGGCTATGGAAGCCTTTTGAGTTCACCGACTCTGATCATATTTAGACAAGGTGATAGTCAAAGTGGAAGTTCTCTCCTCCCTTCAGAGAAGGGTACCTCCTTCTCTGATGGCCTGTTCTTTCCACTGGGATCTCACACGCAGAGATCTTTCATTTAGGTCATTTTTTTTTCCCAGAGTGTCTTGGCTTTCCATGCCTGAAATACTCTCATGGGCTTTTCAGCCGGATCCACATGCCTTAAGGGCTGATTCTGAGGCCAGAGTGCTGTTTAGGACATCATCATTCTATGAGTCTGCTGTGTATCCTGCTTCCCATGTTGGATCGTTCTCTCCCTTTTTTATTCTATTGGTTAGTATTTTCAGACACTAGTCTTGTTTATGTGATCCCTTTAATTCTTAGTCCTATCATTATGATCAATTGTGAACTGAAATTGATCACTTGGACTAGTGAGATGGCATTGGTACATGCCACCTTGATGGGATTGAATTGGAATCCCCTGGTATGTTTCTAACTCTACCATTTGAGGTAAGTCATCTTAAGCATGTCCCGAATTGCACATCTCTTCCCTCTCTTATTACAACTCTTATATTTAACAGAGATCACTTTTCAGTTAAATTTCAACACTTAAGAATAACTGTGTATTAATTACAGAATTAAACCAATAGTATTAAGTAGAACGGACAAAAAAAAAATACTAAGAGGGATAACGTATTAAGTTGTTCATCAACAGTCAGGGCAAGGGCTGATCAAGTCACCGTTTCTCATAGTGTTCATTTCACTTTAACGGGTTTCCTTTTTGGTGCTCGGTTAGTTGTCACCAATCAGGGAGAACATATGATATTTGTCCCTTTGGGACTGGCTTATTTCACTCAGCATAATGTTTTCCAGATTCCTCCATTTTGTTGCAAATGACCGGATTTCATTGGTTTTGACTGCTGTATAGTATTCTATAGAGTACATGTCCCATAATTTCTTTATCCAGTCTACTGTTGATGGGCATTTAGGTTGATTGCAGGTCTTAGCTATTGTGAATTGAGCTGCAATAAACATTAAGGTGCAGACAGCTTTTTTGTTTGCCAATTTAATTTCCTTTGGGTAGATTCCAAGGAGTGGGATGGCTGGGTTGAATGGTAGAGTTATATTCAGGTTTCTGAGGAATCTCCAGACTGACTTCCATAATGACTTTACCAGTTTGCATTCCTACCAACAGTGGGTTAGTGTCCCTTTTTCCCCACATCCTCGCCAGCATCTGTTGTTGGTAGATTTCTGAATGTGAGCCATTCTCACTGGGGTGAGGTGAAACCTCATTGTGGTTTTGATTTGCATTTCCCTGATTGCTAGTGATCCTGAACATTTTTTCATGTGCCTGTTGGCCATTTGGATTTCCTCTTTTGAAGAATGTCTGTTGAGGTCATTGGCCCATCTCTTAAGTGGGTTGTTTGTTTTGTTGTTGTGGAGCTTCTTGATCTCATTGTAGATTCTGGTTATTAACCCTTCATCTGTAGCATAGTTTGCAAATATTTTTTCCCATTCTGTCAGTTGACTGGGAGGCAGAAGATGTTAGCTCAAGCAGGTTGGCTTCCTGCCACGCACGAAAGAGGTCGTGGTTGAGTTCCAGGCTCCCAGCTTCCTCCTGGCCCAGTCCAGGGCTGTTGTGGGCATTTGGGGGAATGAACCCGTGGATGACGGCTCTTGCGCCTGTGTCTGTGTCAGCCTCTCAAAATCATAAATTAAAGCATATTGAAAAAAGTTCATGGAAAATGGATTAAAAAATAATGCACATGTTTTGTAATCTTCAAGTCTTCTGCAACTTGCTTTTCTCAAAATTCTGTATGCATCTGTGTCGCTGTATAGACCTGAAATGCATTTTCACTGCTGTAAAATACCCCACGCTGTCACTGTACCACAATTTATTGATACAGTGATAAAGCCACCTGGGTTCTTCTCCAGGTTGGGATTGGAAACTATCAAAAAAACACAGTTGTGCCCTGGCCTATGGATGAGAGAGAGGCTGTAGGATTAACTGCCCAGAAGGAAGGGTATGCAAGTGTTCAGCGCTACAGTAAACACTAGCACCTTTTCCCAGCAACATCCAGGAATTCTCATTGGTTTACATGCTCACCAACAAGTCCATTTTTCCAGGTGAGTAGATGCAAAATAGTACTCACCTAAATGTTCATTTGCAACCTCCATCACTAATGTAGTTAGGACGTTGTCGCATATCAGTCATTTAGATTTCTTGTTTAAACAAAATGCTCACTCTTTTGCCCATTTGTCTTTGCAGTTTTCTTATTGGCTTATGTAGGAGCTCTCTGGGTATCTGACATTCATCTTGAGTCACGGACGTGTTTGTACCAAGTTGGCCCTCCACATCTGCAGGTTCCCATCCACAGATTCAACCAACCCCAAATAAAAAAAAAAAAAAAAAACTTTTGGAAAAAAGAATTTACATCGAGGGCCGGTGCTGTGGCACAGCAGGTTAAGACCCAGCCTGCAGCACCCACATGCCATATGGGTACCTTTCTGAGTCCCAGCTGCTCCACTTCTGATCCAGCTCCCTGCTAATGCACCTGGGAAAGCAGAGGAGGATGACCCAAGTGCTTGAGCCCCTGCACCCACGTGGGTGACTCTGGAAGATGCTCCTGGCTTCAGCCTTGCCCAGCCCTGTTCATTGCAGCCCTCTGAGGAGTGAACCAGTAGATAGAAGATCTCTCTGTTTCTTCTCCTCTCTCTGTAACTCTGCCTTTCAAATAAATAAATAAATCTTTTAAAAAATTACTTGTGCACTTTCTTTTCTTATCAATATTCCCTAAACAACACCGCCTAACAAGGTTTACATAGCATTTACATTGTATTAGGTATTATAAGTAATCTACAGATTATTGTAAATGTCTGTGGGGGGAGGGGCAGGCATTTGGTGCAGCCATCAATCCAGCACTTGGGACGTCCACATTCCATGTCTGAGTGCCTGGAGTAGCCCTACTCGCCACTCCAGCTTCCTGCACATACACACCCTGGGGGGCAGCAGGTGATGGTTCGGGTCCCCACCACCCATGCGGGAGACCAGATGGAGTTCCTGCCTCCTGGCTTTGGCCAGGCACAGCTCTGGCTGTGGAGGCATTTGGGGGGTGAACCAAATAAATAATATTGAATAAATCTTTAAAAATTAAAATATATGGGCAGATGTGCAGGTTATGTGCAGATATGTGAACCATCTCTATAATGAACTTGAACATCTGCGATTTTGGTATCTACAAGGGATTTTGAGAGTAAACTCCATGGATGTGGAGGAGCAACTGTGCTTTCCACCTTCTTGGCTTGTCTTTCTTTTGGTGGAAAGAAATCATTAACTTGGGCTGGCGCTGCAGCTCAATAGGCTAATCCTCCACCTGCGGCACCAGCACCCCGGGTTCTAGTCCCGGTCGGGGCACCAGAGTCTGTCCCAGTTGCCCCTCTTCCAGTCCAGCTCTCTGCTGTGGCCCGGGAATGCAATGGAGGATGGCCCAAGTCCTTAGGCCCTGTACCCACATGGGAGACCAGGAGAAGCACCTGACTCCTGGCTTCAGATCAGTGAGGTGCACCGGCCACAGCGGCCATTGGGGGGTGAACCAATGGCAAAAGGAAGACCTTTCTCTCTGTCTTTCTCTCTCTCACTGTCCACTCTGCCCATCAAAGAAAAAAGAAAGGAGAAATCATTAACTTAAATGAAGTAAAATGTATCAGTCTCTGGTGGTCAGCTCCCTGGGAGGTTGTTTTGATTTTTAAATTTTTTTTGGAAAGGCAGAGTGGACAGTGAGAGAGAGACAGAGAGAAAGGTCTTCCTTTTGCCATTGGTTCACCCTCCAATGGCTGCCATGGCCAGCGCGCTGCGGCTGGCACACCGCGCTGATCTGATGGCAGGAGCCAGGTACTTTTCTCCCATGTGGGTGCAGGGCCCAAGCACTTGGGCCATCCTCCACTGCACTCCCTGGCCACAGCAGAGAGCTGGACTGGAAGAGGGGCAACCGGGACAGAATCCGGCGCCCCGACCAGGACTAGAACCCGGGGTGCCGGCGCCACAGGCGGAGGATTAGCCTCAAACTGGCACCCATATGGGATGCCGCCACTGCAGGTGGCGGCTTTACCTGCTATGCCACAGTGTCGGCCCCTGTGCTAAATCTTAATGTATGGACATTATGAGATTGAAGCAACACCCTGACAATAGGGACACCACTTTAGGGCACTCGGAACTCCATCTTGAGAAAGCACCCCACACACACATCGTGAGATTCTGGTCTGAAACTCTGAGCTAAAACTCAGACGACAGCAGTCCACTGCATCCCATGTGGCGAGCATAGAAACCCCCTAGCACGATCGCTCAAGCTTAAAATAGATAGGCTGCACCTGCATTAATGATAAGATTATAATTTGTCTGTTGTCAAGATTGTAATTGACAGTGGTTTCACATAGGCCCTAGGTCAGCCTGACCCTAGCAACCATGTATTCCCCATCCCCTCCTTGTGGGTTTTGCCTTTATAAAGCCTGTTGCTTTAAGCTTGGGGTGGAGAGTTCTTTAGGACATGAGCCCATTCTCCACCATGGACACTTATCAATGTGTGGTGCTCACTCAGACACAAGACCCTCCCTTTTTATTTTTTCTTTAAGCTTCCCAACTATTCCTAGGCCTTTACATTCCCATAGGAATTTCCGAATTACCTTATTGAGTTGCTCTCAAAATGCTGCTTCAGTATTTGGATTGGCATAATATTGAATCAATAAATCAGCTTGGCAATTCTGACGTGTTTGCAAAATTGAGTCTTCCAATTCATTAAATATCATAGATCTCTGTTTATTGAGTCTTTAACATCTTTCAATGAAGTCTTCTAATATTGTTAGGATCCAGTCTACATTTTCTCTCTACTTGTTTGAAAATTTACTCTCTATTCTTTTACTTAATGCCCTTGAAATTTTAACATTCACCCTTAAAATCCAAAATTAACATCCAACAGGGATGTGTGTTGTGGCCCAGCCGTTGCTCTCACCAGCATCCCATACTGGATGCCTGATGCAAGTGCAGGCTACTCCGCACTCCTGATCCAGCTCCCTGCTAATACACTGGGAGGCAGCAGAAGATGGCCCAAGTGGGTCCTTACCACCCACGTGGGAGACCCGGATGGAGTCCCTGTTTCCTGGCTCCAGCTGTTGCAGGCATTTGGTGAATGAACCAGTATATGGAAGATCTCTCTCCTCCTCCCTCTTTCCCTCTCTCTGTCACTCTGCTTTTCAAATAAATCTTAAAAAAAAAAATCAATGTCTTGAGCACCGATTTGAAACAACGCAAGGTCCTTAGAACTCCACCACCCCCATCTTTGCCTGCTGCTTCCGCTCTGCCCTTTTTCAATCCCAAGTTCACGTCATTACCATCATCCTGCCGTGCAGACGTCCTGTAAGAGCCGCTGGTGCGTTTGCCACCACCTCTGTTCAGCCTTCCTTCTTGTATCTCAAGCCTGCCCCCTGAGACTCCTGTCTTCTCCCTGGAATACAGAGAGCCCTCAAACTCCCATGGTGCGGGTCTGTTGCTGTCACCCCCAGCCCTCAAACTCCCATGGTGCGGGTCTGTTGCTATCACCCCCGGCCCTCAAACTCCCACGGTGAGGGCCTATTGCTGTCACCCCCTGGCTCTCACGGTGCCCACGTGAGGGCCTCGGAGCTTCCTGTGGCATGCCGCGGAGGTGCCACAGCCATGGGGGCTGCTCAGGCAGCGAGGCCGGGCCGGAGGCGGGAGGAGGAAGGGCCCTGAGGGAGACCCGGGTGCCTCTCTGAGGGGATCCTGGGCGGCAGAGAGGGTCCTAGACTTCCCCCACTGCAGGCCCTGTCAGCCCCCAACTCTGACGGCTTCGGGGTTCCCGGAAGAGAGCAGTTACTGCTCCTCCTCCGATGCCAGTGCACTGGAACCCTCTGAAAGTCCTAGGTTGAATCCCTCACCCCCCACACACCCCATCCTAGGTTGAATCCCTCACCCCCCACACACCCCATCCTAGGTTGAATCCCTCACCCCCCACACACCCCATCCTAGGTTGAATCCCTCACCCCCCCCACACCCCATCCTAGGTTGAATCCCTCACCCCACACACACACCCGTAGCTCAGAGTGGGACTGAATCTGGGAATAGGGCCCTCGAAGCAGAGCAGCGAGGCCACGTGGGTGGGCCCACTGCAATACGACTGGTTCCTTGTAAGGGGAGGAGATCCGGACACGGGCTCAGGGGCCACAGTGAGGAGGTGGCCGCCTGCAAGCCCAGGAGACAGGCCGACGCCGTGACCCCAGCCTCCTGGACTCAGAGCCGTGAGAAAACGGATTTCTGCTATGGAAGGCACCTTCGTGGGGGTCTGCAGCAGCAGCAAACGCACATTATCTCCAAAAGCGCGTGAGCATAGAAGTTTATCTTACTGAAAAGATTTGAAACCCATGCATATGATGGATTTTCAGAGTTCATGGAAAAATGCGTGGATTTCAGGGTTTGGGGGTTTTTGCATGTGTGTGTGTGTGTGTGTGCACCAAACTTACCGTTTAGCTGCATTTCCCATGAACTTGTTTGAAAGAGGAACTGAGGCGAGTGAGGGGCAGGGCACCACTGGCCTCTGACCACAGACCCGGGCAGGGCTCTGGGTGCCCACAGCTCCTCTGCCCCACCACTCTTCCCAGCACACCCGAGATCAAATTTCCCCACAAAAGCAAGGTCAGCAACCCAGGTCTACCTGCCCAGCAAGATCTGAATAAATTCCTGGCTCAGTCCCTACAGCCCTGGCTTCTCAAATACAGGCTTGTGCCAGAAGCACCTGGGAAGGGGGACGGGGCGGGGAGGGGGAGGCGTTGAAATGCAGAGCCCTGGGCCTTGCTCCCAGAGAGCCCTCTTCAGCAGTTCTGGGGCAGAGCCCTCAAGTCTACCTTTCTAACGAGCGTCCAGGCAGCACAGCTTGAGTCACCTGGCTGGGATACGGTGCACCAGCATCCCCGAGCCCTGTGGCTGCAATCGATAGCCGCTCACTCTTCCCCCAGTGCCCCGTGCACTTGACCCTGTGCCCAGCCTGTCCTGCCAGGCATTCCTTGCTGCTCAGTCCAACACCGTGATCAGATCCCCCGAGTCCCCACTCGGGCTAAAGTTGAGAGGCTGCAGTGTCTCTAGAGGGAGAAACCTTAGGGGAATCTGAACCAGAACTGGAAAGATTCTGGTAAGATACAGCTGTCTGGGTGCACCGCCAGGTGCCCACCTCCCTGTGCAAGACACACTGATGTGAGCCCCTCTCACAGTCCAGATGAACACAGGAAGGCTCAGAGAGGGGAGGCAGCTTTCCCAGGGGCACACAGCAGAGGCTGAGCAGAAACCAGGTCCCCTTCCCCTGCACTGTGGGCTCCCTGCTGGGCTCTCCCACCTATATCTGCCCCCTCCCTGCCTTCTCTGCCTTCTTGTGATCCCAGCTGTGCCCAGGCGTTCCCAGCCAGTGCTGAAATGGAGCCTCAGGGGACTGTGAAACTTGGCAAAGAAGAAAAGTGGGGAAAGAGGGAAGGGAAATGAGGGGAGGAACGAATGGGAGGCCGACAGCTCAGCTCAGCTTGGGCTGTCCAGACACTGGGGGCGGGGCTTCTCCGGGAACCTGCACACGTGTACCACCACCCCTTCCTCCAGCCCTGGGAGGGCTCAGGTCACGCCGGAAACCACAAGCCTTCTCCTTTCCAGAGGAGCCAGCCCGGGGCTTCCCTCTGCCGTGACCGTGAGCTTCCCGCCCCCAGGCGCAGTTTGGGCAGCCAGCCACAGCCCAGCCAGAGCTACCAGCTGTGCTGTGCAACACAGGAGCTGTGGCCAGTGTGGGGCTGGGAGGGGCTCTCTGCCCTCCCTGGACTGCCCCAGGAGGGGTGAGGATCCTGCAGGGTGCAGGTGAGACCGGCAGCTGGGGGAGCTTCCCCAGACCCTGAGGACCCTGGCTGGGGCAGGCGAGTCTGTGTGGAGGTGGCAGGGCTCCTGGAACCAGGATCTGCAGCCCTGCTCTGAGTTGCCACACCCACTATGTCACCCGGAGAAAAACTGGACCCAATTCCCGACAGCTTCATCCTGCAGCCACCAGTCTTCCACCCGGTGAGCAGGCGCTTTGGCCCAGAACTTTGTAGGTCTCGGGGCTCCTCCCTCCGAGCTGGGCCCAGACTCCCGAGGGCCGGGGTGGACAGGACTTCACCCTCGGACCCTGCTTTCCCAGGGACCTGCCCAGGCTTCGGCAAGGCCCTCCTGAGCTTAGCAAAGTGACCAGTCAGCTAATTCTCACTTGAGTGTGAGTGACTGCTGGACTCCCAGGGTCCTTGCATTGTAAAAGTGGTGAAGCCTGGAGCCGGTGCTGTGCCCTCACTGGGGTGGGTGGCAGGGAGGATGGGGGGGTGGGTTGGATCATTGAAGAGGACAGTGATTACCAGGAAGGCCAGGTGAGCGGACGGGGTCCTTTTTCCCTCTTCCTGCTCAGTCCCGGGAGGGTTCCTGGTGCCAGGCAATGTTTCACGTAATTACAGGCAGGAGCCTGGGGAATGGAAGGGACTGACCCGCCGAGCCTGGCTGAGCTGCCCACAGGCTCTGACAGGTGGGGCTAGGCACCCAGGTGCCTGAGTGAAGGCTTGAGGCAGCTGCCCGGGTTACCGTGGGCTTTCCAGAGGGCGGAGCCACCTGGTGGGTGGGGTCTCTGCTCTTTCTCGGGTGTTTCCGGCTGCCGAAGCCTGCTGGGAGCTGGAGGGCAACACAGGAAGAAGGCTCAGCCTATGGTACCACCCTGTGCATACCTGCTGCCCATCCCACAAACATCCATGCACAGCCCAGGGAAAACAGCCAGCCCCCCAGCCCCCGGCAGCCAGGGACCAGGGGCCAAACCAGCCATAGGAACAAAGCGTTCTGGGGTCCCAGGGGAGGGAGGAATAAGGGAGGCACCCACCCGGACGATGCCCCAGAAATGGCTGGGAGCTGCAAAACTGCAAAGTGTGTTAGACAAGCCCACAAAGGGAGCTGGAGCTGGACCACCCATATTGTCCCTCGGGGCATGTCCCTCAGGGTCACCTCCAGGCTCCCAGCTGAGTCACTCCTCCTGCCCCCTGGTTCACCTCGCTGGGGACACAGCAGTGCGTTGTGTGCCCCAGGAGCTGGGGGCAGCTAGCTGGCTGGTCTGCGTGGGCACGTGCTGCTCCCCCCCCCCCCGCCAGGGGTGACGTGGCCTTGGCCTTGACGTATAAAGTCTCAGAAAGGCAGAGAAGCAGAAGAGCACTTCCCAGAGCAGACTGATGTGTCCTGTGTGAGGAGGGAAAGCTGCGTTTCCTCGTTCTGCTCTCTGTACCGCCTGGACGTGGTGGTCCCCCAGCCCGTTCCTCCCCCGTGTCTCCCCTCGCTCAGGTGGTTCCGTATGTCACGACAATCTTTGGTGGTCTGCACGCGGGCAAGATGGTCATGCTGCAAGGCGTGGTCCCTCTAAAGGCTCGCAGGTAAGGGCACCCTTGGTGGGTGCCTCTCTGCCTCTGGGGTCTCCAGGGGTGTCAGGCTGCACCGTGAGAGCCTCACCTCCGGCCAGGTTTCAGGTGGACTTCCAGTGTGGCTGCAGCCTGTGCCCCCCGCCAGACATCGCCATCCACTTCAACCCTCGCTTCCACACCACGCGGCCCCACGTCATCTGCAACACCCTGCATGGTGGCTGCTGGGGCGTGGAGGCACGGTGGCCCCGCCTGGCCCTGCAGGGAGGAGCCGCCTTCCTCCTCCTCTTCCTCTTTGGTAATGAGGAGGTGAAGGTGAGCATGAGGGACGGCCGTGGGTGGCCTAGAGTTTGTGTCCGTCTACCCTTCCTTCCCTAGTCAGTTCCCCAGGCCATGGTGCTGAGCAGCATTTAGTTAGGAGAGGGAGGGGGTCAGGCACAGAGAGAACCAAGGAGTTCCAGGCTATCCTGGGGCAAGAGTGAAGGGTCCACTGTTATTGTCATAGCAAGCACTTAAAGAGCCCTTGCTGTATACTCAGACTCTTAGCCTTTGACGTATAACCTGCTCATTGAATCCTCGCAACAGCCCCATGGGTGGACACTTTCCTTATCCCTGGCTCACAGCTGAGCGCCCCCTGGAGGGTGGGAGGGATTTGGGGGCCCTCAGCCAGTTTCCTCCACTTTGATTCATGATGATGTCACGGGTCTGAGCTCTGTCAGGGCAGAAGGGGCCTTGGAAGGGGCCTTGGGCCCCAGGCCAGCTCTGGAGCCTTGACAAGGTCCCTGAAGCTCCCCAGACTGGAGCTCCTCCTCCTCTTGAAAATGCCGTAGCTCAGGGGCTGGGCCAGCGGTCAGGTGAGGACGGCGCTTCCCGAGAGTGGACCCTCAGCCTCTGCCTGTGCCCCTAGGTGAGTGTGAACGGACAGCACTTCCTCCACTACCGCTACCGGCTCCCGCTGTCTCGCGTGGACACGCTGGGCATATTCGGTGACATCTTGGTGAAGGCCGTTGGATTCCTGAACGTTAACGTAAGAGCTCCTGGGACTGACCTCCCCTGGCTGGGACCTCGCCCCTAGCCCAGCCCAACAGACAGAGGAGGCCCCTTGTCCCCTTGTAGAAGCCGTGGGGGGAGGAAGAGAAAGTGATGACAGAGGGGCCTGGTAGCCGTGGGCGGGAGTCTGTGCTGGCTGTGGTTACACTGGCTAACACTGAAAAGCAATAGCCAATTGGGCACAGTGCCTCGGGCACAGCTGTGGCTGGCTGCGGCTGAAGGACAACCAAGCCACGTGGGACACAGCGGGAGCCTCAAAGGCCAAAGCCCGGCCTCTGCCCACCTGCCGTGCCCCGGCAGGGGAGGTGGGGGCCAAAGACACGGCCTCAGGGCTTGCATGGTCCTGAGTGCCGCTGGCTCTGTTTTCTCCCCCTGAACAGCCATTTGCGGAGGGCAGCCAAGAGTACCCCGTTGGGCACGTGAGTCTCTTGGGTTGGGAGCACGGCTGGACCTTGTGGTGGGACAAGCTGGCCACCAGCGGAGCCAGCTGCTTCCCCCCTCCCCCAGGTGACCTGCCCACTGCATAAGGCCCAGCTGTCCCTCGCCTCTCTGCTGCGGTCACCATGGATACAGGGGCTCCCATCAGTCCCTGGAGAGCCTGCATTGGGGAAGATGGATGGGGTGGGCTGGGGGGAGGACTCTGGCTCTGCTGACAATTCTCAGAGCAACCGCGCCAGGTGGCTGGCCTCCTGGGACTCAGGGGAGATGGGGCCCGGGTTCCAGGGTGCTTCAGAAAGTTCACGGACAAATGGAACTTCAGTTTACTTTGGTACAGAAATATGTGAAATCCATGCTTTTTTTTTCATAACCTGCATTTCCTGTGAACTTGTTGAAGGGCCTACATCCTGGGCCCAGGCTGCACAGTGAGTGGACGGTACATCCACCATCCAGGTCTGCCCCAGTGGGGCTCCTGCGACTCCCAAGCCACCATGAGAGACAAACCCGGGGACACCCACTTTGTAAGACTCATGCGAGCGGTCCCTTTCCCTGAGCAAACACCGACGGCCTCCCCGTGCCCCCTCTTTCCCGACAGCCCTTCCTGCTGACGAGCCGCAGGCTGGTGAGTGAAGCCCACCCCTCCAGTCTCCCAGGAGATCTGGTGCCTGGTCCGCCTCCTCGGGGCTGGGGGGCAGCTGGGTGGGAGGCTGGAAACTCCATCAATCTCAGGGTTCCCCTTCCTTGCAGGCTGGGGGAGGGCCGGGCAGCTTCAGGCTGAATCCCCAGCTCCACGCTGCCTTCTCGCCACTTCTGCAAAAAGTGATTTTATGCTCTTCTGTGCCGGGCCCAGTGCCAGGCGCCAGGGTAGCAGGAGGTGCCGGTCCTCCAGTTGCTGGGAGGGTACAGGCCTCCCAAGGGCCACTAGGGTCCAGGGAGTGGCAGTGTGGGAGAGGTAAGGACACAGGGGAGGCACACAGGTGGCCAGGCCTGCGGAGATGAGACTCCTGGCCTCGCGTCCGGGGACATAAAGGGGCCTGCCCGCTCCTGGGTGCGGCCCCTCCCTGAGCACTCTCCAGCCTCACCTTTGTTTCCTGTGTCCCTTCAGGAGGTACCCTGCTCGCGTGCTCTTCCCCGGGGCCTCTGGCCTGGCCAGGTCATCATAGTGCGGGGGCTGGTCCTGCAGGAGCCCAAGGAGTGAGTACCCGGCCCTGCTCAAGCTTTGTAAACATCACCTCTTGTCCTCACCCAGCACCAGCATCCAATCCCCGAGGTACCAGTGAGGACTTCGCCAGAGAGGGGACGCCATTACCAAGTGGATGCTGTGCCTTAACATATCCCACAGGGGGCGCTCAAAACACATCTGCAGGGCAAATCCATTAGCCAGGGTGGACCTGCCCAGCTGCCTGCCTTGAGGAAAGGCATTGGGTTTTATGACTTTTCCAGGCCAGGTTGCTACCTGTGCATGCTTAGGGCTGTTACTCTTCCTCTCTGTGCCACCACGGGCAGCGCCCACGGATGTGGGTGGTGTTAGAATGGCCTCAGTAGAGGCAGGGAGCGAGCCACGCTCTGTTCTCCTTGCTCTGTTTGTGTGTCTGTTTGTGACTAAAGCCTGTCCAGCGAGCTCCTAGCCAGGCCTGTGAATCCTAGGCACAGGTGGGAGCCCAGCATGGCTGGCATTGGGCCTCCAAGGCCAGGCAGGACGGGATTGGCTTCCTGGTGTTGTCTTTTATGAGCTGCGTGGTCTTGGGTCACTCACTATACCTCTCTGAGCCTGGGTGTCCCAACCTGGTAGAGAAAACGGAAAGTTGCTCTGTGATCAGAAGTGCACTTCTCGGCTGGCACTGCGGCTCACTAGGCTAATCCTCCGCCTGTGGCACTGGCACATCAGGTTCTAGTCCCGGTTAGGGCGCCAGTTCTGCCCCAGTTGCTCCTCTTCCAGGCCAGCTCTCTGCTGTGGCCTGGGAGGGCAGTGGAGGATGGCCCAAGTGCTTGGGCCCTGCACCTCATGGGAGACCAGGAGGAAGCACCTGGCTCCTGGCTTCGGATCAGCGCAGTGCGCCAGCCGCAGCAGCCATTGGGGGGTGAACCAATGGAAAAGGAAGACCTTTCTCTCTGTCTCTCTCTCTCTCTCTCTCTCTCTCACTGTCCACTCTGTCTGTCAAAAATAATAATTTTTTAAAAAGTGCACTTCTGCCTCGCAAAATCTGGAGGCGTGAGTCCAGGTTCGTGTGCTATAATCCAAAGTTGCCAGGGCATTAGTGACCTGGCAGGCAACTTAACTGCCCTCTCTAGAGGTAGGGAATGGGGTTGGGGGCTGCTGTATGGTCCCCTCCCCAGGGTCCCTGCCTTCATCCCTTTCCCAGAGTGGAGCCCACCACGTCCTTACCAATGCGGGAAGTTTGTGTAGCCACATCCACCGCAATTCCCAGGACCCCGACTCCGTCCCGCCCGCATCCTGTCCCTGCTTACCCACAGCTGCCTCCCCTGGCCAGTCAGCCAGAGCTATCCCAGGGGTGAAGACAAGAAACAGAACCAGCCTGCCCCTTCTGAGAGGCAGGTGCCCAGTGACAGAAGCGCTCCTCCCCACCACCGCAAATCTGAATCACAACTCCTGGCTCATGCATCGCAGCCGGAGGCCCCAGAGCTGGATGCATGAGCCAGGAGCCCTCATGACCAGGTGGGCGCCCCGCCCCGCCCCTGTGGTCCTCTAGTGGGTAGCTGCAGACTCAGGTCTCCCCACCCTCTGGGCTGTCACGTACCCGGGCGTCCAGCCCTGAGCCCTGCTTTCTGGAGGAGGATCCTGCCCAGTGTTCCAGCCGCTCTCCACCTCCCTGAGGGCCGTGGAAGCTGACCCCCTTCTCCCACCCACCCGCCACAGCTTCACTCTGAGCCTGAGGGACGAGGCTGCCCGCGTGCCTGTGACGCTTAGGGCGTCCTTTGCGGACAGAAGCCTGGCCTGGATCTCCCCTTGGGGACGGAAGACGCCCATCTCAGCCCCCTTCCTCTTTTACCCCCAGCGGTTCTTCGAGGTGGGTCAGAGCCAGGATGGGTGCAGAGCCTGGGGGTGGGGCATGCCTGGGGGAGGTGGGCAGGGCCAACACCACGGGGCTGGGAAGCCAGAGACACCCACATGGCAGCCCTCAACACTATGCTGGCGCCAGGGGTTCCGCACCCAAGAACTCAGAAGCAGTGAATACAGAGACCCCAGCATCAGCTCTGTTCAGTGGCTCCCCAGGAATCCTGGAAGCTGAGCCCCAGGGCTGATCAAAGTCCACCAAGGGCTGGCTGTGAGCTGGACCCCTCTGAGTCCCGCCCTTGTGTCCACTGCGGGGAGGAGGGTCTTCCAGGAAGAGTGCCAGGTGGAGAAGGAGGACTGGAAGCCCACCGGCCACTCACGCCCCCGTCTTGCAGGTGCTGCTCCTGTGCCAGGAGGGAGGGCTGAAGCTGGCCCTCAATGGGCAGGGGCTGGGGGCCACCAGCCTGGGCCAGCAGACCCTGGAGCAGCTGCGGGAGCTCCGGATCAGCGGCAGCGTCCAGCTCTACTGTGTCCATTACTGAAGAGGACCAGGGAGACCCCAGGCAGAGGAGACTGGGGGCCAGCACTCGCCCAGGGCCCCCCACCCAGTGTGCCCCACCTGCTCCCTTCATTAAATTCTGCACCTGTCACTGTTCTGTCAGGCCTGCTTCATCCGGCTTCACGGGCCTGGGTCTGCAGGACGTCGGGACCCTGGGCAGACGTTCATGGAGGCAGGTCTGTAGCCTAGGATGCCAAGAACACGGTGGCTTAGAGAATGCAGACATTTAGTCTCGCACTCAGCAATTCTGAGAAAATGGCCCAGGCCGGTGGGGCAGCTCTGTGCCCTGTGCACATTCAGGGCATATCCTAGACCCGGAGGCCCCTGTCCCAGGGCACTGCCACTGTCTGCATTGGCGAATATGGATGAGACACCCCTGGTTCCATAAGCCCCAGGCCCAGGATCAACACACACCACGTACACTGGCACTCTGAGTCCTGCTCAGAGGGCCACACCATCCGCAAGGGAGGCTGGCAATGTTCTCCAGCGGGAAAGCCACGTGCCTGGCCACAGTGCTGTCTCTGTGAAAGACGGAGAGTGATTCTGGTGGATAGCCAGGCTCTGAGACAAATAGATGCTGTTAACAGCCTCATTTTAAATATTTTTTAATGTTAAGGTCAGCAACTTTAAAAAAACAGATTTATTTATTTATTTGAAAGTCAGAGTTAGAGAGAAAGAGAGAGAGAGGGAGAGACAAAGATGTCTTCATCCACGGTTCACTCCCCTAATGGCCACAATGGCTGGAGCTGGTCTGGTCTGAAGCCAGGAGCTTCTTCTGGGTCTCCTTTATGGGTTCAGGGGCCCAAGAAATTATGTCACCTTCCTTTGCTTTCCCTGGCACAATAGCAGGGAGCTGGATCAGAAGTGCAGCAGCCAGGGCTTGAACCGGCACCCACATGGGATGCTGGTGCCGAGGGTGGAGACTTAGCCTACTATGCCACAGCACCGGTCCCTAACAACCTCGTTTTGTAAAGTAGGATGCTGAGGCCCAGAAAGGCTAAAGAATTTCCCAAGATCACCCAGTTAGAAAGTGGGGGTGGCTGGCGCCGCAGCTCACTAGGTTAATCCTCCTCCTGTGGCCCCAGTACCCCGGGTTCTAGTCCCGGTCAGGGCACCAGATTCTGTCCTGGTTGCTCCTCTTCTAGTCCAGCTCTCTGCTGTGGCCCAGGAGTGCAGTGGAGGATGGCCCAAGTGCTTGGGCCCTGCACCCCATGGGAGACCAGGAGAAAGCACCTGGCTCCTGGCTTCGGATCGGCGCAGCACACCAGCCACAGCGGGCCATTTTGGGGGTGGACCAACAGAAGGAAGACCTTTCTCTCTGTCTCTCCCTCTCACTATCTAACTCCACCTGTCAAAAAAAAAGTGGGGGTGCCAGGATTAGAACCCAGGGATTCTACCTGCAGAGTGTGCGGCCTGTAACCATTGCACTGTTGTGTACACACACACACACACACACACACACACGAACTCCCCGATAAAGGTGATTCTGGGAGCTGCAGGCTTCGGAACAACAACTCACAGATTGAGAAGTACAGACATGGACAAGAAGGGGACACCATGGAGGAAACGGAAAGGTTAATTAAGAAAATAATACGATATGGAACACTATGACATGCATGTGCTACACAGCATGCATGATACAGTAATACATGCTCCAGAATGAAATTTTGTGTCCTCCACCCTCCGAATTCGTATATTCAAATCCTAATGCCTAAGGAGCTCTCCCGCCACGGCCGGATGCAGCAAGAAGAGGACCCTCGGCAAACTCGGAAGGTGCCAGCGCCTTGAGCTGGGAGGCCCCAGCCCCCAGGACTGTGAGAGAGAAATTTCTGTTGCTTCTACATTACGCAGGCTAAGGAATGTCATCCTAGCAGCCTGAGTGGACTGAGACAGTGGACTGCAATACCCAGCAGCATATTATATCATTACCATATAATAGTATATACCATACCTGTATGTTTTATATCTATATATTATATTTAGACTCACAAGAATTGATAAACAGAAGATTAAAACCAAACATCTGGCCGGCGCTGTGGCTCACTAGGCTAATCCTCCGCCTTGCGGCGCCGGCACACCGGGTTCTAGTCCCAGTCGGGGCGCCAGATTCTGTCCCGGTTGCCCCTCTTCCAGGCCAGCCCTCTGCTGTGGCCTGGGAGTGCAGTGGAGGATGGCCCAGGTGCTTGGGCCCTGCACCCCATGGGAGACCAGGAGAAGCACCTGGCTCCTGCCATCGGATCAGTGCGGTGTGCCGGTCGCAGCGCGCCGGCCGCGGCGGCCATTGGAAGGTGAACCAACGGCAAAGGAAGACCTTTCTCTCTGTCTCTCTCTCTCACTGTCCACTCTGCCTGTCAAAAAAAAATTACTTAAAAAAATATATCTGGCTCCTCCCAGTAGAGGAAATTGAGTCCTGTCTCACTAAGAAACGGAATCTACCTGTGGGCCACACACAGGAGCGCAGTGACTCGGAAGGCTGTCTCTTGGGTGGGGTGTTTACTCAGTCGTTCTCTCGCTCGGTGTCTGTGCGCTGCACACTAGGTCCCTCCACCACTGTGAAACACCTGGGAGCAGCTAACTCGCAAAGGCAAAGGTTTCGTTTCCCGCACAGCTGGAGAGGTG